TTTCCGTTGCTCATCGTCTGTCATTGAGAACAGACTGTGCTGGTCTGGGACGACCTTAGCCAGCTCATACCATGGTCCCTTGGTGAAGTCTGAGCGAACAGCCGAGATTTTGCGGTAGGTATCTGCATCCCCAAAAAGGACCTCGTTGGGGCCAACGCGGACTAGAGGACCTACATGAATACGGTGTCAACAAGGCTTCCCACAAGTGGCCATGATCTTAGTCGTACCATACTTGTCACCCAGCTCTTTCAACATAAAGCTCAACTTCCCTCCCCGAGTCATGAGCTGCATCGGCAAAATCGAAATCGCGTTGAGCGTCGGGCCTGGAATGTGCCTCAGGCGATACCATGTTTTGAAATACCACACCGCCAACAGGACCAGCGCACCCGCAACAGCTACAGCTGACGGCGCCATCGAACCGAAGCCCTCAAAGGCTCCAAAGACATCGTGACCCGGCATTTTGGGCCCGGCCGAGGATGGAAGCATGTCACTTCTGCACGGTGACTGATGGGATGTCAAACAAAACGTTAAATCGAAGAGAGAGAAGGGGACCCTAAGGACGGGGAGAACGCCCTAGCTAAAAAGCTTCGGCAAATTTGGCAGCTCGTCTCTAACGCGACATCACCACTGTGCGGGGTTGACCCCCATTCCGGCGGGAGACCCGTGTGTCGCTACCGGTCGGGTCTGCCATGTTTGCTGGAGAGCGCTAGACACGGTTCACACGGTCATTGAGTCGATGGTGATTGGCAGATAACGGCTTCTGGGCGATGGTACGGCACTTGGGAAAAAAGACTCTGTCGAATGGGGGGGGGGACTGTGTTGGTTGAGCCCTGCAGGCTTGCGTGGAACTGGGACTGAAGACTGGGTGATTGTTACAGGGATTTGCGTGTCTTCAGCAGCTGTACAGCCTGTGTTGGTAAATTGAACAAACAAAATGACGTATGATTGGCAAACATGATCAATGGTGGATGATCATCAAAAGCGCCCTCGAGAGATTCTTTGTTCCGACGTCGATCCTTGGAACTGTGGTGGTTTTTGTGATATCCTAAGTGGACAGAGACTCAATCTGAAGAGGCGGGAGCAGTCCCTGTGTCAGTTTATCTTTGCTATCAATTGAAGCAAGCCGAGACATTTTGACGGTCTCTTTTATCAAGCAAGGGGCCACAGCAGAAAGCTAAGCTCCACAAGGGAACATCCCAATAGCCTTTCAAGTTGCCGGGGAAGCGTGGCACGGCGCAGTCCCGGAGGCCGCTCCGTAACCGCGGGACGTCCCAACGGCGGCACGGAGGCAATCTGATGTGCCCTCTCCCGTCATCCCGTTCGGCTGAACGTGCCGCGCAGTCAGCCGACCTATCTCACCTGCATCGATATTTCTACTTGTATAGCCTGAAGCGAGGAATCCTTCGTCCAACATCTCTCCATGAACGCCACGCGATTGGCTCCAGCTGGACAACTCAACTAGGCGAAGCTTTCCCGAAAACAGACCTCCAGCCACGTCTTAGCGCGTCTACGCTGTCAGCGAAAATGGACGAAATGCAGGGCCCCTCTCTCACCCTTTCAGTCTCCGCCTGTGAACCAAAGGAGCGGGAAAAATAGGGGCTGGACTCCTGGAGACCAGGGTTCACGTTAAGTTTTTATTTTGCCTTAATTATTTATTTGACGAGGAGGGAGCTCTCATCCCTGCTGTACATAATGATCCACAGGTCCCTGAAAAAAGAAAGAACATCGTGACTCTGCCAATCTTTTTTCTCTTCTGTGTAGCAACCATTTGGGCATGTCTCCGTCATCCAAGCGCCGATCACCGTTCCACGGACCGGAGCACACGGCGTTCAGCTGCTCTCCCAGACTTTGAACCGGCCGCAGCAAAGCTTGTTCGAGCCAAGAACACGGTCGGAGGCCGAGTCAAACACACTCAAAGAAGTGAGGCCTCTTCCCATCACGCCGCACCGAACCGCGTCTGCGCCGAATCCGGGGCCGCAGGTTGGCATTTTACGTTGATTCAGCCCCCCAGTGCAAACCAAAAACCAAAATACACCATAACACCGCCACGATTTGTAGGACTGAGACTAGGCCCTCAGATTCGACCAGGCCCCGAATCCCAGCCGCGTGGACAGCTGTGGGAACTGTGGCATTCTCTCGTTGCCTGGTAGCACATGCAAGGGCGTGTCTTACCTTGAAAAGGGAAAAATTCCAGCAGATCAGCTCCATCTCGCATCCTGCCCGCCCACCCCCTCCAAATCCAAACAAGACGTTGCCGCTCGGCACATCCTACCCAGCGCCAGCAGAAGCTGCACCAGCGAAGCTAGCGCGATACCCCGTCTCCTTTTGATCTCCAGCTTGTGAGAGGCGGGTGTGGCCCTTGGCAGCCCCTCCTCTGCTGCCTCTGGGCAGCTTTTTCTTCCTTCAATGTCATCACAGGAGACTATGGAGATGGGATGGCAACAGCAACAGAGACAATCCGCGTCCATCCCAGAAAGACCCATCCCAGCGACGAAGGACTCCGATACCATCATTCATGACACGACGAACGCAGCGACGGGAGGCCCGATGGACACGCATGGCATCGACCTGAGCTCGCTAAGCGGATCGGCGCACTACGACGCCGATCCACTGATCCGAGGCCAAGAAACTCACAATGACCTCGCACACCATCACGATCAACGCCAAGATGCGAGTGCGGCGCTGCTTCACAACGCCCAGGAGCCTGGGTATGATGGCAATGGGCTCGCAGGGGCACAACAACAGCAACAGCAATACCAACAGCAGCAACATGCATATCACCAGCAGCAAATGCCTCCGCAGCCGCCTCCATACGTCGCAGCGAATTATCTAGGACCGCCGAATGAGCCCGTGAGATCTTTTCGCATGCGGAAGCCGACTTGCGGCTTTTGGCACTCATCATGGAACATGTACCTCTGGCTTGTGGTGGGCATCTGCTTCGCAGTCGGCCATCACGCGTTCTATGCGTCTCTTGACGGCCACCCCGCGGATGACCAGGTGCGGATGCTTCGGTACGGGACGATCCTGGCATTCATGGCCAAAGCCAGTTTGGGCGCTGCCGTGATATCGGCGTTTCAACAGCGCATTTGGGCGACGGTGAGATCGAGAATACTGAGCATCGCCGCGCTCGATTCAATGTTCGCGGCCACTGAGAACCTCATCGCGTTCTTGAACTGGGAATTCCTCAAGGGCGCCAAGGCAACGGCTGCCCTTGCGCTCTTTGTCTGGTGAGATCCAGCCTCAACAACGCCAATCTCGTCTCACGTATCGCTAACTTTTATGAAGGCTCTCCCCGTTGGTCGTCATTCTCACGGCCAACACGCTTCTTGTGCAACCAGAAGTCACGATCCAGAATGCCACGTGCCCTGGCGTCCGCAGCTTGAACTTCGGCATGGAAGAGACTGCTGACTGGCGCAAGCCCGTCCGCATCGACGGCCTCTACGAGATGCCGCTCTCATTCTGGAACACCACTAAGCCGTCTGACGAGGATCCTCCGGGATGGTTTGACTACTACACCGGGCCTAGCCCAAACTTTCAGCAGACAGCGACCCTTGGCGCTTACTTCCAGGAAGTCGTATCGAGGAAGAATGCGTCTGTTGAAGTCTGTAGTAAGGGGTGGAACTGTACCTTTGAGATTCAGTTCATCGCCCCTGGCTACAAGTGCACAGAGTTGGCCAGCGGCGTTGGCACGAAACCTACGAATCTCACCCAACAGTCCGGCCAAGCGACGTCGCCATTTGGCACCGACATCCTCCTTCCCAACGGAACCTTTGCATACTACGCATTCACGAGTGGTGGAGAGTACTCGACGACACAGTTGAAGGACGTCGACATCGGCGGCATCCCGAAGATGGATCCGCCATACCCGGAGCACATGGGAGCCTTCCGGACAGAGCCGATCATCTGGATCGGCCACGTCGTAAAGGGAAACACATCTTCGGGCGGAACCGACGTCGACTTCACTCCCAAGATCTTTGCATGTGAGCACTATGAGACCGACTACACAGCCATCTTCAACTACACAGACGCAACGCAGTCGGCATATATGAAGAAGAGCAAGTTTCTCCGCCCAATCATCAACACAACGTACATCCCCCACGTCGACGCAGACGACGGCACGGCGGATAACGTTACCGCCACCCCTACGTCAAACTACATCCTCCCAACCGATGTCTCGAACTACCGCCGCACGGCAGCATACCACTCCCTCGGCTTCATGCTGCGCAAGTTCCTCAACGGCACCGTCCAGACCGACAAAGCGCTCGTCAACCCCGTAACCAACACCGACGCGATCCAGACAAAGCTCCTCGACCCGCGCAACAACTACTTCCCCCACGAGAACCTCATGGAGATGGTGCAAGGCTTCTACGAGGACCTTATCCTCTCCATCTTTTCCATGCCCCAGTTCGTCCCGGTCGTCTGGGCGGCCCAGCCCACCGAGATGACGGGCCAGCTCCTCGAAGGCGGCGGTCCCGGCAATAGGTCATCATACATGTACGGCTGCCAGCGCTCCCGGATGGCGAACTTGTATAGCTACCACGCGCGCGACCTGTGGATCGTCTACGCGATTGCGATATTCCTCGCCATGTCGTGTGTGGCGGCGGGCGCGCTGGCGATTCGGGAGAACGGCGGGGTCCTGCGCAATACGCGCTTTTCGAGTATCGTGGCCGCTACGCGAGGCCCTGCGCTGGAAAAGGTGAAGTGGGAGGGTCCCGATCGGGATCGTGGTGATGTACCGAAGGATGTGAAGGAATTGAAGATTGGCTACGGCATTATGAATCAAAATGTTATGAGCCCCCTGGGCACGAATGGAAGATACCCCCAGCAGAGCAGTCCGATCTGGTCGCCTAACGAAGTCAGGTGCGGGTTTGGGTTGGAAGGAGATGTTAATCAGAATAAGAGGGAGGGATCACTATTTCACAGGTAGCAAGCGACAGCATTTTAATACTACGAGGTCCAATTCTATGATTCTTGTTGATTAGTTAGAACTACTAAAAGTCTTAGTGCAAGACGAGGTCGTCCATGGGGCAGCCCTTGTCGACAGACTGGCTTCTCGTCTTCTCCGTAATGATCTTACGCGTCAATTCCATCAGTTGATCAGCCAACTTCTCATCCTGCGCTAGCTTGTTGCCTGCCTCAGGGATCGCAGGCGGACAAATGTACTGGCCAGATTCCTTGATCGCCGTAGCTGCAAATACCGCAGAGACAGCACCTTCCCACTGACTCTTCTTGAACGGTTCCATGCCAACAGCCATCGCATAGCCTCCCAAGGGATATCTGTCACAGTCAGATGCTGTACTCATGGGCCGAAGGGAGATACTCACGGCTCAAAAATATCCTCCTTGCTCATCTTCGTGCTTACAAACCCAGGATGAGTCGCATTCATCAGCACATTCGGGTGTCCGTTCTGCGTCACCTTTCTCGCAAAGTACCGCGCGTACAAGATGTTCGCAAGCTTGCTGCGTCCATACTGTCCATTCGGACCCAGGTCCTTGTTAAGCTCCTCCAGACTCTCAAACTTGACATCGCTCGGCGCAGCCTGATGTGCGTTGCTTGCCTGGTTCACGATGCGAACCACGTTGCCCTTCTCCGCCGTCTCCTTAATCAGCGGCAGCAGGTGACTTGTCAATACCACGTGGCCCATGTGGTTAAGAGCCATGTGCCTGTCCACGCCGTAGTCCGTCAGCTCGAAGCTCATGATGCCGCGGCCAGCGTTGTTGACGAGGATGTCGAGGCGGTCGGCGTCGTTCTTGATCGCCTCCGCGACCTCCTTGACGCGCTTCCAGTCCGACATGTCGCACTGGAACCACTTAGTGCGGTTCGCCTTCTCCGTGCCTAGGTCCTTGGCGATGGCATCCTGGGCGCCCTCCACGACTTCCTTGGAGACGGAAAGGATGTAGAGCTTGGCGATGTTGTGCTTCAGGAGAGTGTGGGTGACGCCGTACCCAATGCCTTCGCTGCCGCCCGTCACCACAGCAATCTTTGACGTGAGGTCAGGGCAGTCGTCCAGACTGAACTGGTGAGAACCGAGGCTGGCGGCGGTGCTGCCACCAAAATTCTCGGCGATGGTGTTCTATAATTATGTTAGGGCTGGCGGGCAGATGCAACGGTCTTATTACCTTGACGGTCTCCATTGCGGGAATGTTCACGGGACGAGTATAATGTAATGATCTCGTAGTTGTTGCAATTTTGCTGGATTTTATTGATGCAGGTGCAGTATGGAGCGGCGCAGTTGAGGTTCTTGAAGGTAGTAAGTCTACTAACTTATTCCGCCTCAAGACACTGATTGGAATTCGCGCAGAGCTCATTGGTAGACGGTTATGCTGAATGATTTCATCCCAACACGAAATATTTGGCTTGGTCCTCTGTTCAATTGCTTATATGGGAAGGCGTTGAGCCGCATGAATCATCATCGATGTCACTGTCTTACTTGGCTCGCCCAGAAACGGCGGTTCTGTCGATGACGCGCTCATGTCTAGTCCGTCCGTCGCATCGCACAGAGTGATGCTAAGACACAGTACCGTTTCCCCCGCGTACTAAGCCCTACGGCGACGAAGCTCCAGGGCGCAAAACATGGCCTTTTTTTTCCGCTAGTGGCATCCGATGGGAACTTTCGACGTGTCGTCAGACGTACGTCGGTCATTGAACGATCTTCTGCCCGGGGCAGAACCTCCGTAGTTTCGTCCGTGAAACCCGGTGCATCGGAAGACACTGGTGCAAATGAGGGTCTACTACGGTGGTGGAAACCGTCCTATCCTTTCCATTGGCCATCGAATCCAGAGTCGCGCCGCCGGTACCAGAGTGTGGTTGATACCGGCTGTCAAGTGATCTGGCCAGCCCTTGATCATCCAGACGCCATCAATTCGCTTGATCAACACCTCGAAATATGCAAAGAATACCAGCGCCAGATTCTGCCTCGCCTGTAGTCGCCTAACGATATTTTCCGAGACGTGGTAAAGCCAGGAAAAAACCACCCGCGAGTTTCCTCCTCCGACCTTATCGTTGTCCCCAAACACGGCTGCGAACCCGGCGCGAACGCGGTGTTGAGCATCTTGGTACACTGCCCTCTCTTCTTCGCCAGACACTTCATTCATCATGATCTGACGGAGATTCCTCAATGCCGTCCCCCAGGACGTCACGGGCTCATCCCGAGGCAGTGTTTCGAGGTCCAGCTTGGCGATGCCGTACATGAAAGCCAGCGGTCTGGCGGGCTCCGTCATTCCAAAGGGGACAGATGCCTCAGCGACCGTTGTCAACCCGCGGAAGAAGATGGGCCATTCCATCCAGAGTCGTCGGTGAAGAGCAGGAAGTTTCCCGGCTGAGGACCTAGAGCGAACGTCTGAAGGCATGAGAGCATGGCGAAGCTGAACAGAGGATCGCAGGATTCTGCGTCTATCGCAGCAAGTCTTGGGGTTGCAAGTCGGACCGCGGCTTGCCAATGGGCTGTGGCCTTGATCTTGTACCAGCCCGAGGCCTCGCTGCTGTTTTGTCTGAGATGGTTCATGTGCAAGCCACCGATGGCAAGGATCGCTCGCAGGAGAAAGTGGTGAGAAAAAGACATCTGGGCCACTGTGATACTCCAAAATTGCTGCACATGTGGAGTTGGCCCGAAAGTCGTGGACGTGATGGAGCAGAAATGGTGAAACAGTTGAAGGTCCTGAAGGTCCAGAGTGAAAGCAGATTCATCGCACTCCTCCATAGCCTGATTGCCAGGCAGAGGCTCAAAGACAGTAGCTTGAGCTGCGTTTTCTGGCGTTGACGCGGGTGAGGGACTAGTGTTCAGGCTGCACCACAGCGACCTCTTGACGCAGTTGGTGCAGCTCGGTTTTCTTTCATCGCACTATGATTGAATTGGTTCTAGATTTCGCGCCGCATCTCGTCAAGAGAAGGTGTTTTCTCCAACTCACCTTGATTCGCCGTCGCTTGCAAAAGCTACAGCCACCACGCGATTTCTGGTGAGATCGTCGAATGCCTTTGCTCCCCATGGACGCGCCATTGTCATTACTTTCCGTCCGGGTCATTCTGTTAATCTGAAGATGTTTCGCTCAAGTCGGCCGCAAAGGTCCAGATGGCGCAGAAGCACGACTGCTTAGGAGTCGCGGCGTTGCCATCGCAGCATATTGCTGTTGTTAGAGCCATGTAGGGGGCAGACCGAATTCTTGTAGGCTCTCAGGGCACAATTCGCAGTGACATTTTTGCCTCGGTAAAGAGCCCGTGTTTGTGGGGATTTGACAAGGATATAATAGTGGCTGAGCCGCCCACTGAGAGCAGCAGCCAGCTTCACCCGTTGACGACAGGAGATCTGTACGAGAATTGAATGTTGTTGGCGATATATTTGTGAGATGAGAAACAACAGAAAATCTATAAGCTATGGAAATCGATATGATATCGCGACATCCAGTCCAGAGGTATATAACGAATCAGAGCCAATGCCACCAGACACCATTGTCGTTTGGTATTGACCAACGGCTCGTTTAACTGGCAGTGCTCGTCAATGGATAACCAAACGGCGCGGTTTTCTTCATTTTGTAAGGATGGCACCAGTTGAACCAAAGCAACGCTAAAAAAATCGGGGTAGCATCGAAGAGATACGGCAAATATTCATGCTCCATCAAGGAAGAGTCCTGGCCGCCAGAGTGCTCAGCGATCCGAAAGATGTTGCGAATAGTGACCAGTACCATGACGCCGTAGAGCGTCATCAGCCAGCGGATCTCGTGTGAGACACCTGCGGAAGTGAAGGCCTTGCAGATGCGCCGGTGGAAGACTCCGGCGACGATAGTGAAGAGCACGCCAAAGGCGACTTGTACTACCAAGCCGGCGAGGACAATGTGTTGGCCTGCTTTCTTTGACGACTCCATCGCGGTTGGCTTTGATACCATGCTTCCTCCTATACAAATTAGACATGTTCAGTATCAAGAGATAAATATCTTCGCTGGAAGTTTAACTGACCGTATGATTGTATCAAGAAAGATGCCACATCGCCAGCCACGAAGATGCGGGTTATCCAGCGCGGGGAGAGAATAGAATACGAGTTGCCGTCGGCAAGGCGAATGATTTTCTCAAGCAGCATATAGACTGAGGCTGCAATGATGGCTGGTGCAACGAGAACAAGGATTGAGTGAAGAATGAATGGAGGCAAACTCCAGCAGCCAACCTGTTCGCTCGCGGAGAGACATCGCATGATATAGCTTACGGTCTCGACTACATTTCAACAGTCAGTATCATCCAAAACACGCTCATAACACCGAACTTACAAAAAGCTCCGACGACCAGCGGTACCATGCACCATGTCTTGAAGTATACTGCCTGGCCAAGGTGAAGAACAGCAGACAAGCCAAAGGCGGAAGTGAAGAAGGTAGCAGCAGCCATTGACGGCGCGTATGCAAAAAGAGATTGGTACCTGCAGTCTGACATGGTCTGAATTATGAATCTGGCTGCTCGTGCTGTAGTCGAGTTGAAGTGTGTCTAGTGCGAGGTTGAAAAGCGAGAGGCATGAGATATGTTAGCTACTTATCATTATCTACCATTTTCTCGCCAGCTACGCATTGTAATCAATACGCTTTTCGGGTTCGAATACGCCTCTGGCTGTGATAACATGTGCCGCCGGTACATGAAAGGATAAGAGTTTCTATTTTGTAGACTCTGCCAAGTCGGCCCCATAATCTATCTACACACCGGTTGATCTTCGGTACTCCTTGATTTATTGCACTACATGCCAGGCTAGACAAAGACCCTGAATGTTATTAGGACGACAAGCTTAGATTAGCCCAGCATAAGAAGCTGGCGACAACGGTCAACAGTGGCGCCAGACTCCACTGGATTACTGCCTATAGTGGAAATAATCCCGTTTTTCGTTATCAGACATGTAGGGGGTGGTTAGAGTATTGAGCTGACTGATCAGTTTTCTTCACTTAGAAAAGACGCAAGGGCAAGGGCTCTTTAACTTTCCGAGTACGCTCTTGAATACGCTCCCCGCAACCCCGATGAGGAAGTCGGCCGTCGAATACGCTCTGAATACGCCCTGTGGGGCGACCGCCAAGTACCGCAATCTATCGAGATGCGGGTTGTGACATTGCAGCAGTAACCTCATGAAATGGCATCTCATGGTGTCATATCCTTCCGAGGCACGTTCGCCTGGGTAGCTCCTCGTTCGGGTCAAAGATTCCTGGCTCTGAATCCAACGCATATAAGACTCCGAGTTACCACGACTTGTTTCCGATCTACTCTGGATAGCTCATGATGGAATCGGCCATTGTCCTGCAGCCAACCAATCTTTCTTTGCGATCATGTTCTTTGTGCCGCTCGTTTGCAGCTTTCTTGCTGCTCTGCCTACGCCATCTCAGGCATCCAGCAGCCTGGCAACTGTCGACCTCGGTTATGAAGTCCACCAGGCGATCTCTTTCAATGTATGGCTTGCAACACACCTCACACGATTATTGTCCACCGGCAGAAATCTACTAAGACTGGCATAGGAGACAACTGGCATCCTGAACTTCACCAATATCCGCTACGCTCAGGCTCCTACAGGTTCTCTCCGCTTTCATGCACCGCAGGCTCCGACTGGACGCGATCCCGAAGTCCAAACCGGCGAGCAAGGACGTATTTGCCCACAGGCGATGCCTGAGTGGTTTGCTATCACTCAACAATTCGTTTCAGCATACGCTGCAGGCAACCAGTCAACTTTCAACTATACCAACGCCGAAGAAAAAACGCGTAACATCCGAGAACAGAGGGAATGGCCCGCTCCGTGGGCCAACCCAAACAGCCACACGACTGAGGATTGCCTCTTCCTGGATGTTGTTGTTCCCAAGAAAGTGTTCGAGAGTGCCACGAATGGTACGTCTGCGACTGGATACAAAGGGGTGACTGTTCTAGTGTGGTGAGTATGCGTAAGAGATTGACAATTATCTGAGCAACGTATCCAATGAAAGCTTTCAGGATTCACGGAGGCGCATACGCTATTGGGAACAAGATCTACGACAACAGTGCCGACCCGACCGGCCTCATTCGAGCTAGCCAGGCCGACGGCAGTCCCGGCATTATCTACGTGAGCATCAACTACGGAATGGGGGCACTTGGATGGCTTGCTGGGCCATCATTGCAAGCTTCTGGTGGAGTATCAAACGCTGGTCTCCAGGACCAGAGGCTCGCCCTGGAATAGGTTCAAGAACACATCCACTTGTTTGGAGGGGACCCTAAGCAAGTGACCGTTATGGGAGGTTGGTGACTTCATCGAATACGACTGCTGAGAGAATCCGTTCGGGTGCTGACCGTGAGCCACAGGATCTGCGGGAGGAGGAAGCATCGTGCATCATATCACGGCATACGGAGGGTTGAAACCTGCCCCTTTTGCGAGGGCAATTCCTCTGTCGGCCGGCTGGATTCCTGTCACCTCTCAGTATGAGCAAGACAACTCCACGAACAGTTTCCTGCAGTCTCTCAACGTCACTAGTGTTCAGGAGGCACAGAATTCATCAACGGAGGAAGTCATCTTGGCCAACGCTAAGGCAGTCGGTTCATCCAAATGGATTTCAACAACCTATGGTCCCGTCATTGACGGAGGTCTCGTGCCGGCATTGCCCGGGATTTCTCTGCTAAAGGGCGAGTTTGATCACAATGTCTCAGTTATGACGGGCCACGCTGCCAACGAGGGCGCAAACTTCTCCCCACCCTTCGTCGAAACCAACGACCAAATGGCCGCGATGATTCGCGACGCATGGTCCACGATAGAGGAGCCTGTCGTCAGCTACATTCTCGACGAACTTTACCCGGAACCGGGTGTCAATCGCACCATGCTCTATGTTGCCGAGCTCGGTTTCGCATGCAACGTCAACTACCTGGCTCGGGCATTCGGGAGCAACACCTACAACTACGAGTTCCGAGTACACCCAGGTGTTCATGGTTCTGCCTTCCCTTACGCTTTCTACAATGGCCCAGATGAGGTGGAAGGAGGTATTTATGTTGGCAGTCTTGGGCCTGTCATTGTCGATGTCGCTCGTACGCTGCAGGGCTACATTGTCAACTTCGTTACGTCCGGTAACCCCAACGGGCTTGGCCTCCCTGAGTTCCCAGTCTCGGGCACCAACGCAGGCATGCTGGCATTCAACAACAGCGGCGTGAGTGTTGTTGGCGACACAACGGCTAACGAAAGGTGCTTGTGGCTCAAGAAGGCACTCTACGCTTAAGTGTTAACGCACCTGTAAACGCACCTCGACATTCACTTGGATGGTCTACGGGTCCTTGTGTCTTGGCTTCAAGCTCTTGTTTCATTCGCTTCGCCTTCAATCTTTTTCGTGCCCATCTTCCCTTCTATTCCTTTTCCATAGCCATGTTCACCATGGGATCAACGAAATCTTCAATCATTGTCATCAATATAGCCATGCAAAGCAATCATTTTCGTCCCAATTGTGACGTGTCACAGAGTTTGGTGAAATCTTCTGTGTTTGATCGCAATATACTACTTTGCTCTTCGGACGAATGATGGCGAAAATGGCGATGGGAACGTATCCCAGCATGGAGAGTACCCCCTGTGAATTGAAAGTACCTTAGCAACGCATTTGTGGCGCATTTAATACAATCCTTGAGTGTTTCTAAACGTTGTACTTCGTTCGAAGACAGTCTCTCTTTAGTGCTTACTTAAATCTGTAAGAAATATTCTCTTGTCTTGAAAATCACGAGGCTATTATGGTAGAGGGTGTAACGTAACAACCTTTCGAGGATCATTTTGTACGCGGTTGGGCATAAGATCCACGACTATATTAACCTTATGATGTGCCGCTCCAGCGTATGGAACGTGGCATGGGATGTAGTTTCACTTGCGGTGGCCGATTCTTGATATTCTTGTCAAACTTGAGAACTTGAGATGAAAGGAGAGCGCCACCTGGTGACTTATGCCTGCAACCTCTTGCCATCCTCAGAAGGCTAGATGCGACGATAATGACAGAAAGTACACCGATGTGGAAATGGAGATGGCTTTGCGTGAAGAACGAGTGTACTTCATCAACGCCTGAGACATTGAAGTTTCAACGCACTCTTCTTCGCCTATAATATATGGTGAGTAATGTAGAGGCTTGGCTTTGGTGATCCTATTCGCTATGCTCGCCGCCACCCAACGCCTCCATGCTTGACTCTCCCTCCCGTGCCCTTCCACGATACCCTAACTACCTGTACAATGTGTGGCTTGACACTGTGAGCATAGAGGGCGTTCCCTTGCTGTCATGTCTCAGGCGCCAAGGGGATGGGCTCAGCCAAAAGGCCTAAGATTCGGAGTTGATCAGGAACAAGCCTAGGAGGAAGACAAATGGCTGACGATGGCGTAACGTCTCAGCCTCCGATGTGTAAGACTGTTCATGGAACCTCACTCTCTATAACTGGTTCAGTTGCTGCTGGATATTGTTCTGAACCTGCTACATTTTCACTTTCGTAGCTGGATCTCAAAATGACGATCCTGCATACCAATAGCAATCTGTCGGAATTCGCATGCATATGTTTATTTATATAATAGTTAGCCTGTTTCATGCGTATCTACGAGTATCTGGCGTGCCAAGAGTTGAATTCCAAGGAAGAGAGAAGAAAATGCCAAGGGCGAAATAAGACCATTTTTGTAGACCAAGACTCTTGAGCGGTCTCAACATTGGATGTGGAACGTGACAGCGACTGTCGGGAGTAGATGTATAGATAATTGATGGAATTAAACCCAATTATCTTCTAGTGTTTGCTCACACACGACAGACAGCTTTTCAAAGACGACACTCTTTTCAACTTGCTTGCTCGCGGAGAGCTTGCTCCCACACTCTTTTGCACACGCTCTTTTACATCGCCAAGATGAAGTTGGCTTCAAGCCCCATCGGCCTCACGCTGTTGGCGATATCAACGATCTGCGTCCAAACCGTCCGGGCTCAATGCTTTGGTAGCGACACATTGTGTGCCGTTCGAAATGGAGCCACGCCTTACTGCGTCAACAACAATTGCGTTGCATGCCGCACCAACCAGAACTGTGCAGTTCCAGGTGACACTGTAGGCACCCAAAACCAAGTCTGCGCCCAGAACACTTGTCGTGCATGCACCGCCAACACCGAATGCTCCACCGATGGATCTAAAGTCTGTTCTCGGGCTGGAATCTGCGCGCCGCCTTGTACCAGTGACACTCAATGTGCCGGCGGTGCCAACGGACAACCGGTACAGGGTGGAGGCTCGATCTGCCGTGACGGACGCTGTTCTCCTTGCACGTCGAACTCCGATTGCAACACCTCAACTGCCGGCCCCACCTGCGACACTGTTTCCGGCCGATGTGGTCTTTGCAATACGATCACCGGCAACGCTGGCTGTACTGGCTCACCTGGCCTTCCGGTCTGCAACCAAAACACCGGCCAGTGCGGTCCTTGTGCTTCGGCCGCAGATTGTACCGGCTCGTCAATCGGTCCAAACTGCAATGCTGGCACCGGTGCTTGTTTCCGTTGCACGAGTGGCACCGATTGTGCTAATTCACCTACCGGTCCGGTCTGCAACACAGCCGATGGCACTTGTCAGCCTTGCAACAGCAACGATGCTTGTATCAACTCACCAAACGGTGCGACCTGTGTCGTTCGCACCGGTCTTTGCGGCCAATGTACCAGCAATGCTGACTGCACCGGCAACCAGTCGGGCACTACATGCTTAGCTGGTAATTGTGGCGTACCTTGCACCAGCAACGATGCTTGTATCAACTCACCAAACGGTCCGAACTGTGTCGCTCGCACCGGTCTTTGCGGTCAATGTACCAGCAATGCTGACTGCACCGGCAACCAGTCGGGCACTACATGCTCAGCTGACATGTGTGGCTTTGCCTGCACTAGCAACCAAGACTGTGCTGCTCGTGGTGGTGTTGCCGGACCGGCCTGCGATGCTGGTAGTGGCCTTTGTCGGGCTTGTACCCAGGACTCTGAATGCGTTGGTAACCCTACCGGCACAAACTGCGGTAAAGCCGGTGGTCCGCCCGGAACCGTCGCCGGTCAGTGTAATCAAGACTGTGGTCAGGAAGGCATTGGACAATGTGACAACAACCCAAAGGGACCTTACTGAGCCAAGAACGCTGCTGGTGCTTTTGAATGCGGTCCAGCTCCCGCCGGTCCAGCTCCCCCGACAACGACATCGACAACTGGAACCTCAACTGCAGACTCTACCAGCACATCAACCGCCGTATCAACGAGTCAAGCAGCTTTAGGTTCTTCCACAGTATCGACGAACCCGGCTGCTACCTCGTCCTCGTCCTCTCAATCATCAACGATTCCAGCAGCCTCCACAAGCCCTGCAGCCGGTACTTCAGGTAGCACTTCAATAGGCCAAGGCGTTACCAGCAGCTCTTCAACTACCGTGTTCCCTTCTAATAGTGGCATTGTATCCACATCAGCTCCAGTTGCATCTAGCTCAGTCGGCTCTTCGTCGCTGGCCAACTCGATTCCTCCCGGTTCTTCTGCCCCAGCCAACTCGGTTTCTCCCGGTTCTTCATCTTCGGCCAACCCGGTTCCTCCTGGTTCTTCTTCCCCAGCTAACCCAGTCCCTCCCGGCTCCTCATCTGCAGTCAACCCAGTCCCATCTGGTTCTGCAGCTTCAGCCAACCCAGTCCCTCCCGGCGCCTCATCTGCAGTCAACCCAGTCCCATCTGGTTCTGCATCTTCAGCCAATCCAGTCCCTTCCGGTTCTTCAAACAACCCAGGTCCTACTGGGGCTTCGTCCTTGGGCAACTCAGCCGTTCCCAGTGGCTCTTCAACCCCGGCGGGCTCTACTCCGACTGACACGTCCGAGTTCACTTTCACGCCCGGCGAACCCACCGACACTTCCACTGACACCTTCACCGCGACATCTGACCCAGTCCTTCCCAGTGACTCTGCAACCCTGACAGATTCGGCAACCTTGACTGAATCTAGCCCGACTGGCACGTCCCAATCCACGCTCACATCCACGTCCGGCGAATCCACTGCCACTGCTACTTCCACCGCCACACCCAACCCCCCTCTTATCACTGTCGAAGGCAACACCTTGAGCAATCTCGGCTGCTTCGGATCTCCATCTGGCCACCCAGGCTTCAACCTGACGCTGACCTCCGCGCTGATGACCCTTGAGCTCTGCGCTGCTGCTTGCCCAACCACCATACAGTACGCGGGTGTCGTAGGAACCGACTGCTACTGCGGAAACATCGTCGATAGCACCAATGAGGTCAACGTTGCCGAGGCCCAGTGCGACACTCCCTGCCCTGGCAACCCCGACCAGCGGTGCGGTCATGCCGTCATTCCCTCCAGGTCTCGCCTCAAGCGCCAGCTTCTATCAGTTGAGATCCGCTTAACCATCTTCGCTCGTGTTGTTGACGGCATCTCCAGCACTAGCTCCGGAGTCTCTGGTACTGCTACCATCTCCGGCTCCATATCCAGCTCTAGCACCGCTGGTGTGAGTGCAAGCACCGTTACCGCCACCTTCACAACCACCGCCGTCACTATTGTTGGAACCGCTGTCGTCAGCGGTGTCCAGACTATCACGACCACATACTGCCCGTTGTGCCAGGACTGCATGGGTCCCTTCTGCTACAAGCCAAGCCCTTGTGTTAGTGGCATGTGTTTTGGCCAGCCCTGCATCGATGGTGACTGCTGGAAGAGGTTCGTCTCTTATGGCGGCTACTGTGGCTATGATTCCGGTTGCTCTGGATCTCAATGCCAGCGTCGTCTTGTCTGCTACGACGGCGTCTGGTTCCCAGACGTCTGTGACGGATACGACTGCGAGCGCAAGGTTGTCTGCACTAACGGCCAGTGCGAGTACGCTACTCCGGGAAGCAAGCATTATGATGAGGTAGTTGTCTGTTACGGAAACAACTGCGAGGTCCAGAAGTGCAGCGGAGACGCCTGCAATCAGAAGTACGTCTGCAAAGATGGCTCCTGCGGGTTCCAGTCTGGCTCTGCATCTGAGGCCGGCCAGAAGTACGTTTGGAATGGCAGTACCGGCAACTACACTCTCGACGAGGGTTGCAAGAGCAATTGCCCTCAGCCTCTTGCTCCCGTCCCTGTTGGTCCCTCTCCGGGGCCCGGTGGTGCTCCTTCTCAACCTACTGCCGGTGGTGTGGCTCAGCCAGGTCAATCTGGTGTTCCTCAACCCGGCCAGCCTGGTTCTCCCCAGCCTCCTGCTACTGGGCTTCCTCAGCCTTCCACCGGCAATACTCCTACCGGAGGCCCCCCTGCCGGAGGCCCCCCTGCCGGAGATGCCCCTGCCGGAGATGCCCCGGCTGGAGGTGCTCCGGCTGGAAATGCTCCGGCCGGTGGTGCTCCGGCCGGTGGTGCTCCGGCCGGTGGTCCTAATGCTCAGCCTCCTTCAGGTGCCGGTGGTGCTTCCCAGCCTCAGTCTCCCCCTGGTGGTTCTCCTCCCGCTGGCGGTGCTCCCCAGCAGCCTTCTGGTACTGGTGGCGCTTCTCAGCCCCAATCTCCCTCTGGGGATGCTGCCCCCGCTGGCGGTGCTCCTCAGTCGCCCTCTGCTGCCGGTGGTGCTTCCCAGCCCCAGCTTTCCGTTGGTGGTGCGCCCCCTGCCGGGGGTGCTCCTCAGTCTCCTCCTTCCGGCGCCGGGGGTGCTTCTCAACCTCAGCCTCCCGCCGGGGGTGCCCCCGCGGGAGTTCCGCCCGTGAGCCCCTCTGTGGTGACCACTGCTACGGCTGGCAAGCTTGTTGCTGGCTTTGGTGCCCTTGTAATGGGTGTGCTTGTTCATGCTATCATCTTTTGAGCGGGCTGTCTTTCCTATTGCTCAGACACACTCAAATTTCTTCCTACGTCAAGGGCTGAATGCTGCTCAAAATTCCAGAAGCTGTCGGGACGATTAAAATGCGAGGCACCGATTCGATTGCGAGGCAGCTGAAAGCTAATAGGGGCTGGTTAATTCGGATCTACTTGTTCTTTGTAACTATGCCCGGCCATTAATTGTGATACGAGTTCAATTCCTCCGACTGGAGACTAAGACATCGAATCAACTTGACATCCATGAAGACGATTTATAGGACGATGAATCTTGGTTGCAGTCTCTTGGTTTATTTATCGAATAATCTCTCTTTATCTTCGTTATCATTCATAGTCAGTTTCACCGTGAGGCCAAAAGCTTCTTCAACCGATCCTCTCAATTCAGCCCTTTGAATGCAATATTTATCGACCCAATCGCCGCTGGTCACAGCGTCTCGCGAAATCTTCAAAGCTCTCGGCGGGGCCGAGTTTGATGTTGATGGGGTCTCCGCGGAGATGTGTTCACCGAGAGCGGTCCACTTGGAGTTCACAGGGCCATCAGGGTCTTCAAAGCCAACTTGGTCAGAGCGTTCAGGGGCTGCCGCCGACTAGTCGAAATACAAATTATGAAGTAGAAGCAGTAATTTCTGCTTAATAACATGTGCCTGGAAGTGTCTTTTTGTGAAAGAGATGAGGGTCTGTGTCTCAGGGAGGACTTCCATTTGTTGACAGAAGCGCGGGATTGTCGGATATTTGAGTCCACACTTGAGCAAGTGATGACTCTTCTTCTAAACAATGCTTCTTAATCCAAATCATTGTGTTTAGATTATCTCCGTCGTGCCGGCAGATGATGTATCAGGCACGCAACATCTTGAACCATCTCTAGTGAGTCGACAGAGGCTTACGGCAATGGCCTTCGGGTTTCGCAACAGCAGTCCAAAGTTGGCTCCAACTCGTTGATCAGCTTGGCATCAAGACTGACGGCTACAGTCGCCAAGTCTTGTTCGGTTTGGTGTCACTTTCAATGCAGCCCAACGCGGGACACCACCTGCATCCGATGTGTAGCAACGCCTTCATCTCACGAATCGAGGACGGCGCTAGCCTTGGAAAACGGGTAGCACGGCCTCCAACAGCGCCAGGCCCAGACTTCAGGCGATCCGCCGACTCCAAACCAAGTCCAAGCTCACGATGACGAGCGAAGGGCCGGTACTGGATCGCCAATTCTTGCCGGTTCAACAGACTTTACTGCCCAGGCGACACGAGGGTCGCAATCGCAACTTCAAAGCCAAAGACCAAGCAACCAGTTGCTCTGAACTTATCTGCCCAACGCACAAGTAGGAAGTTTGCATGTTGTGTATCTCTCGGTTAGATGCCAACGGCGTCGGTGCGACGTGCACAGGGGTGCACCGTGTTCCATGTGGTGGTAAACGCCACGCCGCGCCTCAAAGCTTGTGGCCGGTGGCGTGACATTTCGATGTCTACAAGGTTTACGCCCAGTTCAATTGACATCAGAATCAACTGATGTGAGCTTGATAGATCAACAATAATGGTACTGATCTTCTGCCAAGTGAATATCAGACGTCTTCATGGTGTTGAGGGCCTGCAGCTCGGAATTGGCGGCCCATTTCGCACTCGGCCGTCAATCGTACTCGGAGTGTTTCCAATTTGATGCCCCGCGGCGGAAGGTAACCTTTGTCATGCCCCCTCGGAGAAGCGAGCCGGAAACATGACTCATCTATGGGCGATTCTTTCCTCGATGAAATACCACACGCCGATCTCCCGAGATTTGAGAAACCAAAGAGTCCATCACGGAGGTCCGGAAAGTTGGCGTCGATGGCAAAGCGGGTGCTAGATGTGAAAACATCAAAAGGTAGGTCTCCCGCCGGCATGGGAAACCAAACGAATCCCGCAACACGCCCGAGTCTAGTTCAGACGCGCCAGCACGGCGCGCCAGCTTCTCTGAATGGTTAAAGACGGGCATCAGATGACGAGCTGCCACCTGTTATATAATAGTTTCCCCCTGGAATGCGCTTCTGGCCGTTTTGGGGTCCACATATGGCCGGCGGCCCCACGTCCGGTCCGGGACCTAAACCCTTTTGGGAGTTTCTGTTACCAAATATGACGTGCCCCAAGGCCGTTGTTAACAGTAACACACAATAAGCCGCCTGCCATTGAATGTGAATCTCCGCGGCAGTAAGAGTTGTTAAAAGTAATGCAAGATCCGAGAGATCTGATGCGGGCCAAATGGTAGGATGGTCTGATTTGGACGAAGAAACGACTTGTATTTTGTGTCTCGGTTTGTGTACAATACCACATTGCCATAACCAGCCTGTGGCTTGTGTCTCCTGTTCCTGCATGCCATCCCTTATCCGAAGTATATTCATCCGACGACTTTCACGAAACCAACCGAAGAATTAGACAAAAGGCCCCCCGCCGTCAATTTCGCAAAGAACAAGGCAACTCCGAAGACAAAAGGAGACAAGGGTGGGAAATTGGCTTCTTATTTGCGCGGAATTTATCTCGATTACATCCCGAAAAGTGGCACTTCCCCGGATTTAATCGAACGCTACCCCGGACTTGGCATAGCGACGATCCGTCCCCAATGTTGCATTGCAACCCGAAAAGTTGGAACTTCGATATTGATCGATTTCTCAACCCTTTCGTCCCGCCGCCGCCATGGGCCCATCTCCCATATCCAGTATCACATTTCTTCGGCTACCGCAAGTCTAAGCCTGACAACACCGGCAACCTCGTGCCGATTTTCTGGGCTTGCATAGGCGTCTTCTGCGGCGTGGCTGCGGTCGCCGTTGTCTCTCGCCAAATCCCTTCCTTCAGAGAACATGGAGCCCCCATCATCGTCGGCAGCTTTGTAAGTGATTATTTCCCTCACCTAGCCGCTTCCCGGCCCATTCCCACACCTCCCCCACACCGAGATTGTCACGGAGAGGCCAAGGATGGGCTCGGGCCTCCAAGAGTCCCCTTCCACCCACCCGTTTCATGCCTCGGCCTTCCCATATGACGACATCCTCTCTTCCCGCCCGCCTCATTCGTCGGCAACCTGGTCAGCACTGATAACTTCAAAACGGATGCGCTGACTCAAGACTTGGCCTTTTCCCAGGGCGCAGCCGCCGTGTTAGAGTTCTATTCCATCGAGGCGCCGCTCTCTCAGCCCCGCAACTCAGTCCTCGGGCAGCTCCTCGCCGCGCTTGTAGGGGTCGCAATCTGCAAACTGTTCCAGCTCAGCCCGCACTTCCAGGAGGTACGCTGGTTGGGAGGGGCCCTGTCGTGCGCGCTGGCGACGACCGTTATGGCGCTTACGAAGACGGTGCACCCCCCTGCTGGCGCGACGGCACTCTTGGCCGTCGTCGACGACGGGGTGGTGAAGCTGGGCTGGTTTTTGGTGCCTATTGTGATGCTTGGCTGTGTCGTAATGCTTGCCACCGCGCTAATCATTAACAATGTTCAACGGCGCTTCCCGATGTACTGGTGGACGCCTGAGGATGTACGGCAACACCGCGTGCCGTGGAAGCGGCGGGGCGATGAGGAGAGCTATGGGAAGGCTGAGGCCGAAGAGGTTGAATCGAGGAGTAGGAGCGAGTCCACGGTGAAGCCAGACCCAGTATTGATCATGAGGCCTGGGGAAGTGATTGTGCCCGAACACATGTTCATCACACCTGAGGAAAAGCTGTTTTTGGAGCAGTTGAGTAATCGGCTTTGAACCGTCACTTTTTTCTCGTTTTTCTCAGCATAGCCTTGGCGAAGTGTTCGGACCAGATTTCAATGTAGAGTGTTTTTTGTATCCTAAGTAACCATATTTCATCTATATTCATGTCCCAGTGTCCGATCAGCAGCTTTCTGTCATGAGGCTGTTTCTGATGTTCTGCTGTTCCTTCATCATGAAAGAGAGAGAGATGTAGAGACGTTCCATCATTCTGCCAGGAAATAATTCCCGTGACACTTTCCAAATCATTAACATCAAATCATCATTAACCACGTCCAATTCTCCCTCATTATCGTGCCATTGGTATCATCGTCTGTCTGTCGTGACTTTCTAATGTTCATCATTGCTTGGCAGACTTGGTGCGCGACATGCGCAGCTCAGCCAATTTCGCCGGGTTCTGGGTCGGGTCATTCTCCGGGTCGCCGTCGGCACCCGGGTTGGCCATCTCGTACTCCAAGGTCTTGATGAACTTGTAGAAAACGACAGCGATGAGTGCACCAAGGAAAGGTCCAACCCCTGCGATTAAGATTAGCTTTCGGCTGCGCAAGTCATGTCTTGGAGGGTGTTAAACTTACAGTAGATCCAGTGCTCTGAGTCGAAGGTTGCGGTAATGACGCAAGGGCCAAAGCTTCGTGCAGGGTTGAGGGAGCCGCCAGTAAATTGGACTCCAACCAATTCAGCGATGAAGAGTGTCAGGCCGATACCAACCGGGGCAATGAAGGTGGCCCTGTGCTTCTCCTTGGCCAACATGAAAATTGTGAAGACCAACTCAGCGGTTAGGATGGCTTCGATGAAGACACCCTGAACAAGAGAGGCGCCGCCGCCGAGGGTAGTGCGGACGTTGAAGTTCTCCGGGAAGAGGAATCGCACAATTACCGATGCAAGCATGCCACCCAGAATCTGGGCCACGAACAAGCAAGCAGCACGAGATGCGGGAATTCCCTTGACGAGCCAAAGTCCAAGAGTAACAGCCGGGTTGAACAGTCCACCGCTGATGCGGAAGAAGATCCAGACGTTGACCATGAGAGAGAAGCCGAAGATGATAGAGATGTAGAGGAGTGTTCCACTGTTGAAGCCGGTCGAAGCACCAGTGGTGGTGTTGCTGTCTGATGGAGAGTTGGAGCTGTTCGCAGCAGACTTGATGTTGGCGACCTCTGTACCGGCGAAGGCGAAGAAGAGAAACATGGTCGTTCCAACGAGCTCGCCCAAACTCGCCACGAAGTGGTTCTTGACATCAGAGTTCATCCACTGAGTGAGAGGCAGACGCATGACCTGGGCCTTCTCCTCGCGGGTGAGGTTGTGCCAGTCAATGCGGGCCGTGTCCCCGTTGGTGCTTCGCACCGGGACACTGCGAGGATAAGCCGCCATCTCTTCGTCGTACATCCTACGAGAGGGAGGTCTTCCGGTGTAGTCACCGGGCTCGTAGGAGCGAGTCTCCTCGTAATAGTCCTTGGTATCCGTGTTGGGATCGTAGTTGAAGTAGGGCTGGGGGCGGTTCAAGTGAGCACGAGGAGGCCTTGAGCGAGGTGCGCGGCCGCCGCTGTAGTCCGGATGGTTGTTGTTGTTGCCCCAGTACCTGTCCGTGTCGGAGTCGTCGTCGTAGTCTGCGTTACCGTTGAAGCGGTTGCCTTCACGAAGAGGACGGGTTGACTTGGTGGACACTCCCGTGGGCAGAGGGTCTTCAACGGACTCTCTTCCGGGTGCGATGCGAGCGCTGCGTGCACGAACAGATCGTGATCCTCCTCTTGAGGGTTGTTGAGAGTGGCCGTATCTGGGGGATGCGGCTCCGTTTTCGTCGTCAGAGAAGGCGTTGGGGTCGACTGCTGTTGCTGGTGATACTGGAGAGGGTTCACCCTCAGGTGCCTTCAGGGTCCCGGTCTGCTGTCCTGACATGATGCGATCGAACGACGATGCTATACTCAAAGACGGAGACGGGAGTAATATAGATCGGGAGGGAACTGGCGTAGTTAAGTTGGCCGTTTTGAAAGAGGTCGTCGTAGACGATGGAGTTAGCCTCTTTCTCGTCGTCTAGTGTTTTTGGTGGGTTCAATGTTTGGTGACCTCCATGTTCATGTGAGCCGAAGGTCTCCGAAGGCATAATATACCTCCCTTTTCAAACTCTGACTGAATGTCCAACCAACCACTCTGCGTCTTTGCCCCGACGTCACCGCAACCCTCGGTTCGTTAGGCCTTGATTCCCTTCGTCTGATCAGCCACCGACTTAGTTTCGACATGGACAGCGGGGGTGAAAGAATTCGGAACAAAAATACGGCGGGACGAGGAGCTGGACAGGGGAACGCTGAGCCGCCTGCGATTTCGCTGCGTCGGATCCGTGAGTGCTGTCGAGTGGGAGGCCATGAGTGGTCGGCAGGCCGAGCAAGGCGGAGCGCCGGCCCCATGGGTTATCCCAGGGCTGATCTTATGCAGGCGGACGTGGTAGCCGGGTAAGGCTTGTCTGACTGCCCCAGCGCCAGCGAGGGAGACGGGGGGTAACTTGAGCCGAGATCCTGGGAGGGTGACGTCAAAATCGGATTGCTCGCGATGGGATCACTTGGATCACATCAACTCAAGTGTGTCGGCGGCGTAGGGGACAGGGTGAAACGAGACCCAATTTTGAGGCAAATGAGGCATTGCGGCGTCTGTGTGGTTGGGGGTTCGGTGTTATAAAACGAACGTTATCCGGGCGTCTTGCTGGGATCATCGCCGCTCCATCTCAGGAGTCCAAGCCGCTAATGCACCAGCCTTTGACACGTCGACTGCAGTATCCCAGCTTGACAGCTTCACGATGCTGTTTTCACGCTTGGGATCCTAGGTGATCGGAAGACGCTAGCACTTGATATCGCCCAGAACACCCATTAACAAATCCTGATATTAGAGAGGGTCAGTATCCAGTTTTTCCGAGGCCAGGCGTTGCCGAACGATTGAGACGGTCGAGGGGGAGCAGCTGAAGGCAGGGCGTCGCCCGTCGCCGACGGACCTGAATCATGAAAACTGAGGCTGGAATACGCTGAAGGAAAGGATGCTCATCTCCTGGAGTCGGAAACGTCGCAAATTGCTCCACAACCATTTTTGGCTTTTTGGGGGCCCTTTGAGCCCTTGTTGCAGATGATCGACCAACTTAAAGGAAAGGTCCGAGAGAAATATTGCGCGACATCACGGCTGGATCTAATCATTTGAAGGATGCCTCTGTTGTATCGAGGACATAGGCAGAGTTGAGATGGTGGACGCAGGTGTGGCTCGGATGAGAAGCAGACTGGACGGAGTCAAACCTGGGATGGGTCTTGGCTTTGCAGTCGTTTTCTCTTTCGCTGGAGCGTGTCTCAAAACGGTCATCAAGTCGTCGCGGCCGTTCATTTTTCCCTTGCGCTTAACGGTGATGGGATGCCTAAAGTTGGGGGCAGAGCGCTTCACATGCTGGGATTCAAGGGCTGAAGAGGGTGGGCTTGTTAGCTGAATGAGGATTCAAGTTTTCTTTTCCAAAATACTGCAGCATTCCTTCGGGGCCTAGATCTCGATGATGCTCCATATGCTTCGTTGGTGTTGCATTGAATTTTTTTTTCTTCTTTTTGTCGTGTCACCTGCATCTGGCTGCAGCCTCATGATCGTTTACTCCGCGGTGAGGCACTTTGGTGGCCTACATGTCGTTGTTGTGGGAGTATCCATCAAGTCTCCAGCTTGACTAGCATTCCATGCGCTTGACTCTTTCACCGCAACCGAGCAAAGCTCGGGCTCCCTGGCTTCATGCGTTCGAAGGTGGGAGCGCCTAAGCCGAACAATCCCATATCCGGTGCAGCAGAACTGCGAATTCGAGTACGTATAGTCTTGCGAAATTCTCGCGCGTCGGATATCCGACGCACTTTATAACCACTCCTACTGACTTGTGTGGTCTCCGCCCCCTCCATCTCTCTGCCCCCACGCTGTCATCTGTCCATGACCAGCCGTCTTATTATCGCTGATATTGCTGCTCTCAGGAGGCTGGACGTGCGAGATAGCGCCAAGAGGGAAGCGGGCGCCAACCCCCTTTCTCCATTTCACTGAAGCAGACAAATAGGGTCCATCGCAACGACGACCATTGAGCGGTGAAAGATTTGTCGGACCAGCCTCCGGTGCTGCTATGAATTTGATTGCAAGGCGGGAATCCCCTCACTTGTCCTGCAAGACAATGGTCCTCGTGACACGAAGTCAAACCTGCCTTTGTTGGTTAACACTAGAATATCCACCTTCAACACAACCTTTAGCCCTGTCTCTGGTAGGGCGGGAAGGTGGTGGCAGGAAGGTTCTTGTAAGAAGGCCGGTAATCGACACCGAAGGTTGCCAGTACCTCTAGGCGACCTAGAGGTCGTCCTGAGTTGGCAGTTCAACCCGTGGCCGGGTTGACTCGAGATGGTGTGGTTGGTGTCAACAGCCATGAGGTTGACAGAGCAGTAAAAGGCTCTGGTGTTTAAACCGTTACCAGCCATCAAGACGTGAGAGGTGTGAGGGTGGGGATGATCTACACTCCCACGAGTCGAAATGGCTGGGGTAGCCTCACTTTCCTTTCAGAACCGCCTAGGGAGAAAGCTAAAATGGCTGGTAAAGCCAGCTTAGAAAAGGCGGGTTCAAAAAACCACTTTAAAATGGAACACGGCACACCCTGGTTTCGAAGCTGTTTCCCAGTCTGGGGTTCCCAGGCCACGTGCTTCAACACCTCGCATGCCACCAAATCACTCCTGATCCATATGGAGGGGCTCCAAAGCGACAAATAGCACTTATTTACGAGCAATTCTAGACCGCTAGTTGCCATATATGCACGTTATTCTAGAACGATGTTATGGAGCAGTGAAGAGTTCGTTGTTCCGGCGATCGAACTTACGTAGGTGCATCGGTTCGCCGGTGGTCCACGTTCAAGGAAGACCTATTGTGCTTTCGGAGTACGTCCGGTGGGCGAATAACGGATTTTCCCCTTGGATTCCACACAACTCTTCCCCCAAGTCCACTCAGGGGATTCTCAGCGCAAGTATTGTCATTGGCTGTTCACTCGAAGGCCAGTGCAGATCCCAAAAGAAAGACGTGAAACGTTTGCCCAAGTTCGGCATCAAGCGAGTGGTGTGCTCAGTTCATTCGAACGAAGGAGCCGTAAAATGTCGAAACATGAGCTCAGACATGTGGCTCATGCTTCAGCCTTCTCTTGCGCGTCTTTGAGTTTGGAGGGAGACTGTCCCGAGTCGCTTGTCTTTCAAACAATTATTGCAAAATCAGAAGCCATTTAGCAGCTGGCTGACATGTGGGGGTCTCTGCCTCCACGCTATCGCGACATTCTAAACTCAAGAGAAACTTGGCTAATCTTGGCTTTCAATCTCCCAAACACCACAAGAGCAGAAGATTGAGTTGTCGTCCTTAGTAGCGACGAAAAGTCCAACCAGCGGACGAAACCAGGCACTGAAACGAGGATGTCACGTTTGATACGAAGTTGGGTCTCCTCAAGACGGAATGAGTGGCGAAATGTCAGAAAACCGACCAGTAGCGGTGAAGTAGGCGCTGGAACCGCCAAGCAGATCACTCGAAGATTGCAGATTCTCCAATGAAGCGATCCAAATCCTCAACTATGCGACGACGTCACCAAAGCAAGATGATAGGCAGAGGTCCTACCACATGCACCAAAGAGCGTCGCGGCAATGAGATGAATTCAAATAGTACAGAGAATCTTTAGGCGAGACTCTCCCGCCGGGAAGACTGCTCGTATTGTGAGACTCGTATGCAGTCAAAAGATCGGTCCAGCCCAACTGCGGCTCGCTCCGCATGCTGCCGTAGGAAGCTTTTCACGTCCAGGTCTGTGGCCTCGCCAGCCCCAAGTCCTACGCACAGAAACATAAGTACGCAACCACTGCGAGCCAATCGGGGCATTGCTTTTGAGCTTTGAATAGGGGTACCAACCTCCATACCTGCGACTGAAGCTTCCCCTGTGGTCTGAAATTCGGCCATCCAAATGGCTTGGGCAGTATTTAGAGTGAAGCTGGCGCGCGGATCCATTGCCTTCCGTACGTGTCAACGCAACCCACCTTGCAATTCACATGGGAAACACACGAACCCCCATGCTGGGACCATGCGAAGACGGACCATTTAAGCTTCTTCGGTGCTTTTTATCCAGACGCGGACGTGGCCTCCACGTCCGAAACTCGGCCGTAATGGGCGTATTCCGCTTTCGTGCGAGATGGACACCATCGCATTTGCCGGCCGGTCACTGACCCGAGCCTGTAAGTTGATGGCTGCACTTCCTCCGATGCAGTCCATCGAGATGCAGGAACGCGGAAGTAAACTTATTGTGGTGGCCAATAAGGGTGTAGTATAACGCGGTTTTGCTGATGTCTCAACATAAGTAAGTCAACCTCCAACTTGAACTAGGCTGATTCCGAAAGGAACAATCTCTCGGAATTTGACGAAACGTTTTCCCAAAACAGATACTTGTTCATCAGAGGCATTAGCATACACATTCCAATTATTTTTTAATACTGCAAACTTCTGGTAATATGTGAGCCGTTCGGTTGGAGCGGTGATCCGAAAGTTGAAAGAACAATTGTTATGCCCCGCTGGAAGATCGTCACCGTTCCGCTGCCGGCGGACTCGGAGCGAAGCGGGGACGATGTAACCCCGGAGATGGGCCATGTTGCTCCCGCGGCCTCCCCCACGTTGTCCCAGAACGGGGGTAATTAATGAAATCATGCAATTTTCCTCCAACGACGTGTTTCTCCGCATGGCACCTCCCTGGTGAATGAATGAGGATCGACGGCCCCGTCTACGAGACGACTGAATTAATTGCTGCTCCAATGGTAGTCTGGCTAACGTTGCGCCGGCTGCCTTTTTGAGCAAGCCTCCGTTTCAACCGAGATCTGAACGACTGCCGCCCGAAGCTCACG